TGTAATAGCACTGTATAATTTGTATATTACTTTTTAAAATAGAAAATAACATTGTTTAAAAATATACAACTTCTAAGGTGAAGTAGTAAGGGTAGAGGAGGTTGCTTTAAAAATAAAATTTTACTTCATTATTTAAATATTAGGGATTTTTAAATGTACTGAAATTCCTTGTTAAAACCACTAAGGTTTTTTTTTTCTTCATCTTTCCAACTTGTTTTCATTTCTGTTATTCACTTCATAATAATCTAGTTTTATCCTTTTCAAAGAAACATGGGCAGGCTTGGGCTGGGACGTGTGCTCTATTCCTTTCTGTCTTCTCTTAGAGTATTTGGCAGAAGTGGACATTAAGGAAACATTCTTTTTAATGAATCACAATAAAAACTAAAATTCATTAGAAAGTACACAAAGGAAATTAAGTATTGGCTTTCAGATGTTATACTTCAGCAAAAATTTAAAAAAAGATTTCCTTAATTTCTTACGTGGTCTATTAATTTCTTTTGTGGATCAACCCACAATGGATACAGCACTCCTGAAGGGCCTATGATTCAGATGTTAAATAAATGACCTCAGAAAGTGCTGACCTGCTTTGCAGCTACAGGGTCTAAAACAAGTCCTCTGTTTTTAGCTCAGACCTGTAGATTGTGCCCTGATTAATTAGGCATAAGCAGGTTGTGGGGTGGGGCAGGTTCCCTTGCACCTTATTCTAGGGTGCTAAATTCAAATTTAGCTCTCCATTTTAAGAGCAATTAAGCTCATTCCATGGGATTATAGACAAAATGAAATCAGAAAGTAAAATAAAGCAAACTTTACAGTGTTTTCTTTTTTAAAATCATACAGTTTCAAAGTTAAACCATTTACCTTTTAGGAATAGATACCACTGACATTGTCACCGTAGATGATACATCTATACAATATTCTAAACAGAAGCCAAAATCTTGATCTTAAGGACTCTTTGGCCTATAGAATTCTCATAATTTGAATCCAACTCAAATGGCTAACTGTGTGTTAGTTTTAATCTGGGTCCACATTGTGCTTTACTAGATGGTTTTTCATGGACATTTTTGTTTCTCTCTGGGGTGATGTTTTGAACTTAGAAACTGATGATGACTTATGTTTTAGAAAGTCCCATATTGTTAATGTCTGAATCAGAAGTAGGTACACACTCCTCATTTATTCCTAAATTTTATTTGCTCGTTCTCCAGGTTTTCAAATTTCCCAGTGATTTGAATGACATGTTAAGATCATTTTTAAACACCAACTCAACCCCATTGTTTCAAAGAGGGCAGTTTAAAACCACAAACCATGTGACTAGTGATAACCAGAAGGCCTGGCTTTCATTTTAACAATTAACAACCTGAGATAAGGACTTGTGTTGACAAGCAACTTGCCACCACACTACAGAGTGATGACACATCTGGGATGCTGTCTAAACTCACTTCCCCATGAATAATATCCTATAGATGGGTTGGTTATTCTCTTTAGGAAATAACATCTATTTTAATCTTCTGAGGAATTTTCTTTATCTCTTCTAAAGAAAATTACAGAATATGTAAGAGCACGTTTTCATTAACTCTTCTTGCTTTTCTTTTGTTCTGTTTATGTTCCTAAGTGGAACAAGAAATTAATAAAACGCTAAAACTGTTTGATAATAAGCACTACTTTTAAAGTTGAGAAAGAATGGCATTAATCTTCTTTGGTGGTGGTACTGGTATTTGAACACAGGGCCTCATGCTTGCTAGGTAGGTGCTCTACCACTTAAGCCACTCTGCCAGTCCTTTGTATGCTGGGTCTCACAACTATTTGCCTGGGCTGACTTTGTACTGTGATCCTCCTGATCTCTGCTTCCTGAGTAGCTAGGATTACAGGTGGGAGCCACTAATGCCCAGCTAATGTTTGTTTTTTATTATAATATTTCTTTTGGGCTCTTATTTTACCCTTTATTCCATTTCCATAGTGACTACTGTGGTATCCTGCATGGTCGATGTTCAATTAATATTCATTGATCTGATAACTGAAAAGCCTTTTTGTTTTTGAGACAGGGTCTCACTATACAGCTCAGGCTGACTTCAAACTCAAGATCCTCCTGCCTCTGGCCCCCAAGTCTTGCTGAGAATTTGGGCAGGGGCCACCATATGCAACAAAGGGCTTCACTTTTTTAGTTTAAAGAGGTAACATTTCTACAAATACATGAAAATCTATGAGAACGGTTAGCTCTTTGATTCTTTTTCCCTACTTTCAAATAAAATGTTATTCAATAAGCTTATTTTTAAGCTTCTTCAGGGACTTACTTATAAACTAATGAGACTTCAGAAGAATAGAAAAACTTATTGATAAAGACTAATGTTTGCCAATAAACTAATTTCTGTAAGTTTAATAGATGAATCAAACTTTTGGATAGTTTTTCACTTAATCTCAAAATTAAATAGTGTGACCTACAGAAGAGACTTAAATTGTTTTGTATTGCTGATTGAGCCAAACCTAATCTTGAACTCATTGGAAATAGTCGGTTCTAAGGATATGTTTGGCTGTATTTTGGATAAAAGCAAAATAAATTTCCTTTAACTGATTTCTTCTATTCTATAGGCTTCTCTGGTTTATTCTAAGGTCCTGGCCACTCTAGATTGCAGTATTTTACCATATGTTGGGATTTGCTTTTCCAACCCATTCTAAGCCATTATTCATGTTTCTTTTCTTTGTCTTTATATGTTCTTGAACTAAACTTCAGTTTCTTCTCTTAATCATTTAAATTGACTTTCATTTCAATCATTTATTAAGTTCAATGAATGTGAAGAGTATGAACTATATTGCTCTATCTAATTATATCTACAGAGGCCAAAGGTGGTGCTTTGATTTTATAGTACTAAAGATGTGAATTTTTGAAAAGAATAATGGTCTGACAATAGAGGCCCCTAAAACTATTTTTTTCTTACTTGTGGGACCAATAGTACTCCTATTGTTTAAACTTAAAAGTGAACACTGGAGTTGTAGGTCAGCGAAAGAATTCTTGTCTAACGTGTGCAGGACCCTGAGTTCAATTCCTAGCACTGCAACACACACACTTAAAAATGAAACTTGAGAAACTAGAAGTTGACCATGTGCCTACCTACAGCTTGATTTCCTGGGTGCTCCCAGAGGTATGGGAACCGAGCATTTCCGTTTTTAAGAGAATATCTGAGAATGGACAGTACAGAAGCCATAGTAGATGATGGTTAAGAACATGGGGTCTTTCCAGGTGCTGACATTCACACCTGTAATCCCAGCTACTTAGGAGCTGAGGCAGGGGGATTGTGAGTTTAAAGCCAGTCTAGGTAATGTAGAAACAGACACACACACACACACACACACACACACACACACACACGGAAATAACAACATAATACAAAAAAGAACATGGACTCTTGAGCTGAATAGCTAGTTCGAGTTTAAATCTTGGTATTACTAGTTACAAGCAAGATAACCTTAAATAAACATTTAACATCTCTGTGTCTCGGAGTATTCTCCCATAGTATCTACTTAGGCTTTTATAAGGGTTAAAAAAGATAATGCCTTTTAAATATAGTATGGAGTAAACCCTTAGCACATACTCTTTTTTTTTTATGGTGATCATTTTTTTTCTTTTATTATTCATATGTGCATACAAGGCTTGGATCATTTCTCCCCCCTGCCCCCACCCCTTCCCTTACCACCCACTCCAACCTCTCCCTCTCCCTCTCCCCCCCACCCCCTCAATACCCAGCAGAAACTATTTTGCCCTTATCTCTAATTTTGTTGTAGAGAGAGTATAAGCAATAATAGGAAGGAACAAGGGGTTTTGCTGGTTGAGATAAGGATAGCTATACAGGGCATTGACTCACATTGATTTCTTGTGCGTGTGTGTTACCTTCTAGGTTAATTCTTTTTGATCTAACCTTTTCTCTAGTTCCTGGTCCTCTTTTCCTATTGGCTTCAGTTGCTTTTAAGGTATCTGCTTTAGTTTCTCTGCGTTAAGGGCAACAAATGCTAGCTAGTTTTTTAGGTGTCTTACCTATCCTCACCCCTCCCTTGTGTGCTCTCGCTTTTATCATGTGCTCAAAGTCCAATCCCCTTGTTGTGTTTGCCCTTGATCTAATGTCCACATATGAGGGAGAACATACGATTTTTGGTCCTTGGGGCCAGGCTAACCTCACTCAGAATGATGTTCTCCAATTCCATCCATTTACCAGCGAATGATAACATTTCGTTCTTCTTCATGGCTGCATAAAATTCCATTGTGTCTAGATACCACATTTTCTTAATCCATTCGTCAGTGGTGGGGCATCTTGGCTGTTTCCATAACTTGACTATTGTGAATAGTGCCACAATAAACATGGGTGTTAGCACATATTCTTAACCATTAGTTATACTATAACATAATTTTTCTACCTTTGTCTGGACTTGTAGGGAATTCATACAGGACTCCCTAGTCATTGAAAAGCCATGTCCATGTGTTTAAATTCCACCCATAGGAATCAATTCCCTAAATACCTCTGAGTCTTCAGGCTTAAGTTCTGGTGCAATTAAACAGTCCTCAGGTAAACACAGTATTTCCCTTCATAGTTTCTCTAGAAAGACTATAGTTGAGAACTCACCCAGACTAGGTCTTTCTTTATGGGAGTCAGTGTACCATCTTGATATTCTTATTATCTGAAAAAGTCAAAGTAGCTGCCTTCCTGCAGAAGGAAGACATTTTTGCTGAGTGAAGTGAAAATTTTACTACTCTCTGCTTCTTCCCACAGTATCCGTAAATATGCTGAGGTGGTTTATTTTGCCAGATGGATGTGAGACCCTGGTGAAACAAGAGATGCTCTCATTTTGTATTGCCCTAAAATTCTGCCACAAAACCACACTTGGGAGGAAAGAAAAAAGTCACCATGTAAGCATATTTACCTTCAACTGACTAGGAAGCTGAAACACATCCATGCATGACTCATCACTGCAGGCCTATAAAAGCCAAGGTACTTGACTGTGGAAAGACAAGTCTCCAGCACAGACCTGCAAGATGCACCCAGGTGTCCTGGCTGCCTTCCTCCTCTTGAGCTGGACTCAGTGTGGGTCCCTGCCGCTTCCCATTGGGGACGACGACGATGATTTGTCTGAGGAAGACTTCCAGTTTGCAGAGGTACAGTATCTTGCCAGTCCTGGTGCTGTGGTACATCTCTTAAATTCGTATCTCTCTGAAAAGTGGGTCATCTTGCTCTTTTTCTAGCACTACCTGAAATCATACTACCAGCCTCCGAATCTTGCGGGAATCCTGAAGAAGTCATCAGGAAGCTCCATGGTTGACAGACTGAGAGAAATGCAGTCTTTCTTTGGGTTGGAGGTGACAGGAAAACTTGATGATAATACCTTAGATGTCATGAAGAAACCAAGATGCGGGGTCCCCGATGTGGGTGAATACAATGTTTTCCCTCGAACCCTCAAGTGGTCCAAAATGAATTTAACCTACAGGTAAGTCATAGGCTCAATATTTCCTTAATATCTGTTAGTTTTTTTCTTCTAGACTTAAATATCTAATATTAAGCAGGCCTTTTTGAGTCCAGGAATATGTTAACACCATTGCTGAGAATGTCGCTCATAAAATCTATTATTGTAATCAACTCAGCACTATTTTTCAATGGACATCTTAAAATATTTTTTAGAAATGAAACCAAAGTAGAAGCAAAAGTAGATTCAAGAAAATAGTACATCAGCTGTATTTATTAAAATAGTGTTGAAGATGGAGGATTCTATTTTTTCTAAAAACTTGAAAGATTTTATTTAATTTGTCTTTATCAATAAAATTCCATATTTTCAGGATGCAACATAAATTAGATTGTACATCTGGATATTTTAAGTTTAATATAGCACATGGCCAGTTATTTGGAGATGCTTAAATATCTGAATTCTTGCCTTTTTATCCTTGTAAGGCATCTAATAAATTCTACCACTAGTAGTAGAACTTTTTAGGAAGCCACCACATTTTGACTTGAAAAGCAGTATTCCAGACTATTCTAAAATAGCTTAATCTTCCGCAATGTAATCGAAACTCTCTTTAATGAATAGAATTGTGAATTACACTCCTGATATGACACATTCAGAAGTGGAAAAGTCATTCAAAAAAGCCTTCAAAGTCTGGTCCGACGTGACACCTCTGAATTTCACCAGACTCCATGAGGGCACTGCTGACATCATGATCTCTTTTGGAACTAAAGGTAATTATGAAGAATTATTTTTAAAACATTTTCATACTCCAGCTCCTAACTGGCTCCATTTTAAAATTCCTTCTTGCAGTCATCCATTGTTTTTACAGCATTCAGCAACAATTCACCGTATGCCAGGTACTGTGAGGCGTAGTAGATTCTGACTCTTGTGTTGTTGTAGAGCATGGTGACTTCTACCCATTTGATGGACCCTCTGGTCTGCTGGCTCATGCTTTTCCTCCTGGACCAAACTATGGAGGAGATGCCCATTTTGATGATGATGAAACCTGGACGAGTAGTTCCAAAGGTAATGTTTTTATGAAGATATAACTCATGGATTACTAAATTGGGCAATGGATTCACTGATACAAAATTAAGAAACATAAAAGTAAATTATATTAGTATTAGGTTGTATTTACTAAAAATAAAAAGTTAATTTTACACTTACTATTTTTTCTATAAGAGGCATTTCTACAAATCAATGTTAAAAATTGAAAGTAAATAAAATCTACTTCATTATTGTGGCTTGAGGAATATTAACTAACTTGGAAATAGAACCAAAGTGCTCTCTTTGTTAGTAAAGGGATTGTGGCTGTAGGCTACCTTGAACACGTTGGAGAAGTTTAGTTTATTATAAATATATATCTAAAAACTAGTAGGGCTAGATCTGTTTGCCATAACTGAATTGGATGTGAACTGAAATAGTTTTTCCTTGGTGTAAATATTATTGACATAAGTTCAGTCAAATTTCTGTTCCTCATCAGATGAGTAACTTGTTTCAGACTTGCCTCTAGCACTAATCATAGACACCATTCTGAGAAACCAAGATAATGTCTTACTTCAAATAGCATGAGACACATAAAATGATGGATGCATTTATGAGAGTAAAATGAAACTGAGTGTTAAATGAATTCATGTAGTAGTTGAATCTCAAGGCTCCAAGTAACTGGAATATTAATTTAGTAAGAAAAGCCATAGATTGTTCCAAAGAAGGTTTAACTTTGGAGCTGGGGAGATCCTTAGTTCAGACCACTTGACGCACTATTCACAGACATCCAAGTTTTATTATTTATGTAAGTGAAAAGAAAGCTGAGCCTGGTGGCACATTCAAGAGGCTGAGGCAGAGGCCAACTGGGTGATATAGTGAGACCCTCAAAAAATTAAAAAAAATTATTTTCCCCAAGAGTAAAACTAAGCCTTAACTGATTAATGCCTAAACTCCAATGCCTTCAATCTTCCTATGGAAGGAAAGGTGAGAATTTACATATTCACGTTCTTAGCATTTCATAGGTAAGGGTGAATTTAGGAAGAAGAATAAAAGTTCAATATGATTAAGATGAAGTCACACTTTAGTCTTAGATTTAGATTCCTACATAAATTCTGGGTATGAAATCTCTAACTGAAATTGATGGAAACATCCACAAAAATCTAGATTTAAGTTTTCAGTTGAAGGCCAAGAATTATAGCGATTGCTAGTCATTGCAATAAAGAATTACCTATCACTCAGATTATGTGACCTCTGATTGCCCTATAATGTGCAAGACTTACTATGTTAGTTCATTTTCTTCATGACCAGACTATGACAGCAAACAGGATTTAATGTTGAAATGAAATCACTGGCTCCAGCTTTTATTATATTCTAAGCAGAAGTAATAGTATCCCTATTTTCTTACATACCTTATTTTTCTTACTCTATTTTTTCCAATTTAAAATGGCAGGATTAGAAGACTAAGAATTGTAGAAAGAATAGCTGGAAGAAATAAGATATGGTGACAAATTAATAGTCTAGAGAAAGGGTAGCCAGTCATGTGCAGAGTTTCTGTTTTTCTAAACTGTAGAGTCTAGAAAGAATTCCTTGGTTGGAATTTCTTCCCAGTGTACAGCCAGAGGTCCTATTTGGTGTACCTTCCATACTCAGTTATTATCCCTTTAGGTGCTGCTCCTATTTGACTAATGTGCTAGGCTGCACCTTGCTAGACAGGACCCGATATGATTTCCATACTGCACTTTAAGGTTCTTTCTGTACACTTTGCTCACCTGCTCTGGGAATACAAATTATATAGCAATCTCTTGGCATTGCTATAGGTAATGAGCTAACTGTGTAGGCATCTATAGTCAAAGAGAACAATAAATTATTGACAATGATTAAATCAATACTTTGAATCTTCCTTCAAGCAACTGAATATTAATTGTAAAAAGTAAGTTAATGACAAAAGAGAAAAAAAAGATGGAGAGCACAGTTTCTTTCATTACATGGTCATTGGAGTACACAGTTTCCTCATTGTCTCTTTGTTTCTTACAGGCTACAACTTGTTCCTTGTTGCAGCCCATGAGTTTGGTCACTCCCTAGGTCTTGACCACTCCAAGGACCCGGGAGCACTCATGTTTCCCGTCTACACCTACACTGGAAAAAACCACTTTATGCTTCCTGATGATGATGTACAAGGAATTCAGTCCCTCTACGGTAACTCTTAATTTATCAGTTATAAAAACAGAGTACAATCAATTTAAAAATTAGTTTTATAAGCAGAACAGATACATATATTTACTTCCTAAATCACTGCTGAATTTACCACTGCCAATAATCTGTCATTGTTTTGTTAAAACCTGAGAAAAATATCTCTTTATCTTTCCAAATCATACTATTTGCTCAAGGAGAAAATATTCCATTTTCCAAAATTTTCAGGATATAACTCCTCATACTTGTATTTTTTCCCATTGCAAGATACATTTGATACTCACAAAATATGTGTCATAAGAAAGGAAAATATCTTTTTCCCCATTAAACCAAGGAAGCAAGTAAGCCGTGTTTAAATAGTATACCTAAGTGTACTACTTAATAGTGTACTCTGTTACTGTTTGAAGTCTATGAGAGCAGCACAGTTTATGGTGAAAGTGAGACCTGAAGCAGCTTTTATAAATTCTGGGTATTTTTCCTACTACTCGAATTTGCCACAGTAGAAGTCACTCATGTATGGCCTTTGGTAGTTTGTAACAACATCAGCAGTGACAGTGTAAAAAAAAAAATCTTTCTTTTTTTCTTCCAAATTTTAATCACATTTTCAAAATAATTAAACCTCAACCCAAGTGTTATTTATGGACTGCCTACCCTAAATAGAGAAGCCACCATGCCCAGTCATCAGCGTAAACACGACTGGAGCAAAGAGCTCAGAAAACTCCCTCCCTCCGCTACGTCCCAGTGCGTCTCTTCTGGATTTCAATCTACTGTCACTGCTAGTGTAAGTGAGGGCGTGAGGGCAAAGCAATTCTTACTTCTACTCTGTTGTGACTGAGGGACTGGGATAGAGTTGGATGGAGAAAAAGCAGTGTAGGGTTATTATTTAGCCCTGCACCCCTGTCCACACACAAGTGAGCTGATGGAAAAACGACAAACACAGGCAAGTCACATGAGATTGCTGAAGGCTGCTGGTCACCGAGACCAGTGGAGCGTGGCAAGCATTTCTGATGTCAGGAGATGGAGCTGAGATGAGGAAGTCCACAGGGATGATGTACCATAGAAATGGCTTTTCGAGAGCCATCTGTCAATCCTTGTGCAAAGGGTGGGAGAAATTTCTGTCTTTCACTTTTCCTCCCGTGTCTATCATCAAACTCCAAGAATCTGAATTTATAGCTTAAAAGAATCTGAAGGGGTCCTGAAGGATGAAAGAAGAGGGTTAACCCTTGGGTAGCTGGAGGAAGGAATTAGAAGTACCGGGTGTTTGCCCTTCTGTGTGGGAGCCTCAGGGTTTACTGGGCCACTGCAGGGAGCCCTGTCCTGCTCTCTATCAGCACCACCGGCCTTCCCATGCGTGGTTCATCAGGAAGGTCACCTCAGTAATTTCTCACATTCATTTCATCACTGCAGGTCCAGGAGATGAAGACCCCAACCCTAAACATCCTAAAACTCCAGACAAATGTGACCCTGCCTTATCCCTTGATGCCATAACCAGTCTCCGAGGAGAAATGATGATCTTCAAAGACAGGTACTCCTGAGATCCCTTCATCAAGTGACAAACACTGGCACAGCCATGTCTGAAACTGCCAAGCTATGCAGTTAAACTTCCAAAGGTTAACAGTGAAAATAACAGACTTTGGGGCGTTTATTAACATATTTCAGATCAAATAAATGATGGATAAACATTTTACTGTTCAATGGATAATATTGTGAAGTTTCTTTTACACCTTGACTATAGCTTTTTTTTAACAGAGACAGTAAAATAAAATTAGAAATCCAAGTTATTTGAGAAACAAATGTTGAAAGCAATTACTGAATTAGTAAACTATTATTCACAAGTGTCCACAGGAACTCCTTTTGGTACTGAAAGTCTTTGATGCTGGATATATGTGTGGGAATTTGAGAAAGGGAGTGCTTTACAACCTAAACTTATAGGTAATGCAAGGCTAAATATTGTTAATTGATATTTGTTGTTTTATGCATTTGTTTATTTGTTCATTTCTTTCATTAATTCCACCCCCCCTCCTTTTTTTTACTTCCTCATCTGTGATCCAGTAGCATTCCTACCACCTCTGTAATGACTTACATTGTTCCCCAGGTGTTTTCTCATGGATCAGATTCCCCAGGCCATGAAATCATGGAAGACACAGTTTGTGAGCCCCAGACAGTGCCTGGCACATTTGTTTGTCATTTGCAAGATACGCAAAATTAAACAGAACCTGGTCTCAATCCATGGAGGACTTAGAGGCTTCCCTAAAGTTCTGTGTCATTCCAAGAGTGAATGCTTTAGGCTAGACTTAGCCACAACTTACAGCTGGCACTGTAAGGGGACGTGGAATGTTTTTCTGCCTTCATGGGTATTAGTGCATGGTCACATTAACTTACCTCCATTGGTGTGGAGAGAGCTGGCTGGCGGAATAGGAATATTGCACTTAATGTGACAGAAAACTCTGTATTTTCATTCTTGCATTAGATTCTTCTGGCGTCTGCACCCTCAGCAGGTAGATGCAGAGCTGTTTTTGACAAAATCATTTTGGCCAGAGCTTCCCAACCGTATTGATGCTGCGTACGAACACCCTTCTCATGACCTTATCTTCATCTTCAGAGGTAAGCCTTCCATAGGTGAGACCTCCCTCAGGGCAAGGGTAGGCAGTGATGACCTTGACGTTGTCAGAAACTCAGTAAAATGATCAATACTGAAAAATATTCAAATCAGGAAACGAGGACAGCCAATGGAAACCAGAAAACACCTGAAACTATTCTACCAAATGTCCCTAAATTTGAAATGTACAATGTCTGTCTACATTATTACTTATTATATTCATTCTTTGATTTATAATGATCACTTCATTTCTTTTCTTAGTTCTTAAAAGTACTGAGAAAATATTACAAGGCAAATTTTGAGAGTAAAAAAATATTAACCATAATTCCCCATTCTATACATAAATTTAATTTTCTCACTTTCTTTTCTAGTTATTCATCACATTTAATACATACTTTACACAGTTAATTTTAAAGTGAAGATATATTGTTAGATTCTGCTTGTTCCTTTGACATAAAAACATGGGCTATTTCCAAATTGTCACTGTCTTCATGATCATAGTTTAATGGTATTTTTACATAGCATTCTATGGTATTTCTTCTATTGACTACTATAATTAATGTTACAACAAAGTTACTTTTAAAAGAAAAAAATACTTTTCTAGCTGGTATAAAGTTTGAGTTTTCAGTCTTATTTACTGCTCCATGGTGCTGATTTTTCATGCAGAAATTTAAGAGTATTTTTGACCCAGTATCAAACTTAATATTCCAAGGTAATAAATTGGCAGATGGATTGTGGTATTTAGTTGGATATATCCATAATGAGGAAACTAGTATCTTAAATGCTTTGTCATTGGAAAAATTTCTATGTTTCATAAACATGGTGACCACAAACAGTATTTTATTTCTTAAATATAAGCTTAATTTGTTTAAGTAAATGCCTACTTATGTAAGTCCAAATAGATACTCTTGAATAATAAAACTGTTCTTTCACTTATTAAAGGTAGAAAATTTTGGGCTCTTAATGGATATGACATTCTGGAAGGTTATCCCAAAAAAATATCTGAGCTGGGATTTCCAAAAGAGGTCAAGAAGATAAGTGCTGCTGTTCATTTTGAGGACATGGGCAAGACTCTCTTCTTCTCAGAGAACCAGGTCTGGAGGTATGGCTGCAGTAGGCACCAACCCCCTGTACTACAGGGAGCAAAGTGATCCTCAAGCATCTGTTGCTAATCTAAATTGTTGTCTCACACATCATTTTAAATGTCACACCAGTCATTTATTCCTGTTCCATGTCAGCTCCCTCAGCAGACCCTCAGACATGCATTTTAAAAAAAAAAAATCTCAAGGTCTCTTGAAAACACGCACACACACACACACGTACATTACACACTTCTTCCTTATCATTCGATGTGCCTTAACTATAGCAAATACTATCCCTTTTATTTCGGGATCTTCATTCCTTTTCATCTTTCCTGTCACCCTCTCCATTTTCAGTGGTTACAGAGGACACCAGAATGTACATAGGTAAAGACTGTTGGAGAAAAGACTTCATGTTTGCAAAGTCACCAGATCTATGGAGAGGTTGGCCCAGAAGTTGATACGCACATAATTTGTAAAGCTAAAATTTCCAAAGGGCAGATAGAGATGGAATATTTAAGATACTAAATATTTTTAATATTTAATTTAAAATTAAGGCTGAGGTATGTAGCTCAGTGGTACAGTGTTTGCTTAGCATGCCTGAAGCCTGAGGTTTGATCCCCAAATTAAAAACAAGGAAACAAACAAAACATACAGCAATTCAAGCAGCATTGGCATAGCAACATTTGGGAGCTCAGATCTATGGGATTTGGAATGAGAATGTGTTATAATAACTCACCATTTGAAATGTTCAGAGCAGAAGCTTTATTCTAGTTGTGCATACAAGGCATACACAAACTCACATGCACAAGTACACATACACAAACATCCCTGTACATATCGTCTTTGCCTTTAAAATTCTTTATTCTTGAGTGACATTTACACCTCTTTAAAAATGACTGACAGCTTCTACCTGGTACTGCACACCATCTCCTACGCTTCATAAGAATTCCATGGTTCAGTCATGATGGGTTCTCACCCTATCTCAAATACACTGTGCATTTCCAACCCCTTTGCTTCTCTTATGCAATTTTCTTTTCTGGGAAGTCATTCCCCAAATCTCTCTTGAAATTCTGCCTATTTGAAATATTATTTAATCTGCAAAATCTTTTTTAATTACCCCGTTCAGAGGTTGTGTCCCCTTTCCTGTTCTTCCATAGCATTATATGTTTACTCCCCCATGATGCATAACTTCTGTTGCCTGGTTTTGCAGTTATGTGCACACACATCTAAGCTGTCTTGATGGCTCAGTGGTTATTACCTTTACCTATTGGAATACAGCTCAAGAATATAAAAAGCTCTCCCCAGTCATAGCAGCAGCTTAGAGGAGCCTCTTCTCCCTGATTAATTACTGGATGTGTTTGGTTGTCCAGGTGTGGTGAGAGCAGGAAAGAAGGAGGATAGAACAGGAAGTTGTGGAAAGGGAAAGCCATGCTCCCCTTTGCAACTTCAGTACTACTGTATGCTCCTCTAACTTTTTGCCGTAGACATTAAACCTTAACTATTTTTGTATGCATCGCCATACTTAGCAAGTTGTCTCACATGTAGTGGGAGATCAATATGCATACATGTATTTGAAGAACACTTCCTAGTAACATACTTTCATAACATGCATAATTGGTGAAATGGAAATGAGCTTGTAGCTATCTTTACAAAGATGGTCTTTAAACAAGGTCGACAAATCAAGCATCCTTTATACTCTTAGTGTAGTAATTCATAATTTTAAAAAGCTACAGGATGTTTTAAATGCACTTAAAACTTTTGCCAATTCTGAAAGGTGCAGTTATATTCTTTGTATTATTTCTAAAACAATTTAGAGGTAATTTTAAGATGGGGTTCTTGCTCTGTTTCCCAGCTGGGCTCAAACTCCTGGGCCTAAGCAATCCTCCTGCTTTAACCTTCTGAGTAGCTGGGATTACAGGTATGTGCACTTGCATCTAGTTCAAAGTAATTTTTAAGAAATGCAGCTTATTTAAGAGTTTCTTTTTCTTATTAAATAGGTATGACGACACTAACCATGTTATGGATAAAGACTATCCCAGACTCATAGAAGAGGACTTCCCAGGAATTGGTGACAAAGTAGATGCTGTTTACGAGAGAAATGGTAACTAGTTACATTGTGCTCACCTTTAGAAGGGGCTTCTGTGGCCCCTCAAAACTTTCCTGTTCAAAGGATTTTGGGACTGAAGGTGTGGCTCAAGTGGTAGAGCACTTGCTCAAGCATTAAGCTCCGAGTTCAAACCCCAGTCCCACCAAAAACAAAACAAAAAAGGATTTTAATAAAGGAATTAGGTGTGTTAATAAGTGTGACTACTTTGTAGAAAGAGCAAACACAAGATAGCCCTAATGTAGATGAGAATTTTGCTTAATTATTGCTAGTTCTATGAATGACAGACTCTAAACCTTATATAGGACTTAAATGCCAACAGCGAAGTGTATTGCCAAAATTCAAACTAGTGGAGTGAGGGGTAATTTACATAGAAAAACTAATAACTATATTGTGACTTTTTGCATTAATTATGAAAAGAGATATTATTCATAACTTACAACAAATAATTAACATCAACATTTCTGGCATCACAACTGGAACGCATGACAAGACAATTCTAGGTGATTTAAAAGATCTGACAATATTTATCCTTTTTTTAAAAAAGAAATACAAATAACTACAAGTAAGATTTTAAAAGATAAAGCTCAGTTGAAAAATAAATGGAATTTAACAGATTGGACCTTTAATATTTGCTGTAGTAAAACCTTACTATTTGCAGCCTGAAAATTTCCTTATGGTCTTTTTCTCATAGGTTATATCTATTTCTTCAACGGACCCATCCAGTTTGAGTACAGCATCTGGAGTAACCGTATCGTCCGTGTCATGCCAGCAAATTCCCTACTGTGGTGTTAGTGTCTCCTAAGACTTTTTATTTAAATTCTGGAGCGCAGTTTGGATAATATGCTCTCCAGAAAGGTGGGTGTGAGGGGAGGAGAAGTGTCAGGGGAAAGCTTAGCTCTGTGAGCAAGCTGCAGTAAGTTATCTTTGACTATGAGTGGCTGGAACCACACTGAAGAATTTAAAGTAATGAGAATGAATATCTCCAATGATCACCTGGTTCTTGTGTGCTGTGTAGAAGCCATCAATCATCGAGGATATTGTCCACACCAAAAATGGGTTATAAGTCTGCCAACGAAAGCATGGTTTTTCCATATGTAAGGAACTCACAAAGGCATAGAAATAAATCACATTTATATAATTTGGAATCATCTTTACTAAAAAGCATACAAAGTAATGTAAACATGGAGATTTGGGGAAGCACACTGTAGCTATACAAGACAAAGGGAAATATCAGTAAGTGATAGATCACAGAAAACATCCCAAATAAATAATCTGAGATTTGCACTGAGAATGTCTCAGCTGTACACATCTCTCTTCACACAAACACCAAGACACTATCGGTCACTTGAGGCAGTAGATGTGGCTTTGGATTCTTTTTAATTTCTACTTTTGGCTGCTTTTAAATGAGACAAATGTTCCTTTGCATAAAATAATAGAAGATAAAGAGAGAGCTCTGCTTTTATTAAACTATTTCATGTTTTCAAAAAGTCAGGCAGTAAATAATTAAAATTGTTATAAAGAGTCTAGGGATAGCATCACTTTTTCATAAATCATTTGATTCTTTAAGGCTAAAAGTAATGTTTCAACCCTACTTTATGCACCCAGTAATTTTAATTATCTGGGTTGCCTTTGCTATGTAAGCTATTTTCTAAAGAATTATAGAGCAGGAAATAAAACATATTTTATAAATTGGAAATATATATATGTTAAAATTGAGACATTCAAAATAAATAAAATAGTTTACTAAACTGTAATCCTCTTGAGATATGGGACTTTTTTTCTCTACTCTTTTACTTTTAAAAGAAATTCCTCAGCATTTATCACAGTGCCTGACACTGGGCGGGGCACTTGGCATTTACTGAATGGGCACCCAGGAGGACAACTGTGCTAAGACACCTTGTTCATAAAAACTCAGGCGAAGAAAATGCGTGCATATTTGCACAATGTATTAGAAAGGGTTTATGTTTCTAATAAAAAGATATTTTCAACAGTCATTGCTATGTGAGACATTTTATCTTTGCTCATACAAAAAGGATTTATTACCAGTGTTTCTTGGTGGATATAATCCACTCAGTCTTCCTTCCCTCCTTCTTCCTTCCTTCCGTCCCTCTCTCCTTCCCTTTCTTCTTTCCTTCCCTCCATCTGTCCTCCCCCTCTTACCTTCCCTCCCTCCCTCCTTCCTCCCTTCCTCCTTCCTTTTGACTAAACTGAGAGTTTAGAATTCACTGTAGCAGGCAATGTTAAGAGAAGTTCCCCTCGAGTTTGGCCAGCCTCGTGCTGATGGGCTCCTCTTCCCACACGTTCCTCGGAATCCTTCCTGCTCAGGGCATTATTTGGCAATAAATGGGAAGAGCAACAACACAACTGGAGCCAGGAGGATCCACTTCTAATCCTGGCTCTTCCTTGAACTCTGCAAGTGGCTTTGTGCAAGTCATTTAATCTCTGTGGGCCTTACTTTCCTCATCTGTAAAAGGGACAACCAGCAGCTTTGGTGATTTGGGGGAAATATGGAGGAGGCTGGGAGCTCTAATAAGGAAAGCAAGAAGACCCAGGGCCCCCAAGGTTGAAGAAATTTGGTCCCTTGTTTTCCTAAGCTTTGCCTGTCCCCAAACGTTTGATAAGTATCTGTTAAATGTCATTCACTAGCAAAGAAACACTTGCTCTCCATCTCCTAAAGTCCTACTGTGGTGACAAAACTAAGGCAACAACTAAATTTGGTAGGTTTAGTGCTCTTTTTGGGAGGCAATGACCACTTGCTGTAGAAGCAAAAAGGACTACTGATTTTTTCTTTCTGGTGCACCCCAAAATTAATCTGCATTCTTTTCATCATTCTTGGCAATTTAACAGGATTCCTGATTCCTAGTTTGTTATTAGACTAGAACATAGTCCATCCATCCATTCATCTAATAAAAGTTGAACATCTATCTTGTGCCAGTAACGTAGGCAGAAGCTGAGGAACGAATGAAGAGCAAATCACATTACTTTCTTGGAGCTCACAGTCTAGTTGGGGAGACAGACAGACAATAGTCAAATAAGTACACATTACAGCTATGATAAAAGCTGCAAAGAAAAGAATGATGGTGCCTCGAGAACATCTAACAAGAGGAATTTTACTGTGTATATGGGGGAGGGGACACTGAGATACAGGAGGGAGGCTCATGGCAGGCCTTTTCTAGAAGAGGTACCTGAGCTAATGTCAAAATGAATAGGAGTTAACTGGACCAGTGATGGGAAACTAGGAAAGGGCTCCAAGCCCAGCCTTCCAGACAGTAATGAATTTCTTGGAACTCAGTAGAGAGTTGTAGGAGTATTTTACGATGATTTTGGCATAGGGTGAATTGGGTAAACTACCAAGAAAACCTCTGGATTCAACTGTTCTTCCCCTCCCGCCATTTTTCAAGTAAGTTACCGTGCTAAATATAAATCTATATCTTTCTCTGTTTCTGTTCTCTCTCTCTCTTTGAAGGAAAAAAAAGTGCTTAATTTTGTGCATGATTTTTAAACCATGCAAGTTTAAAAAAATAGCATGGATCATTCCTTCTTGGCAGTAGCAGGTGTAGGTCTAATTCTTGATAATTAAGTCAGTTGTGGAAACATTTAAGTTTTTGATTATATAGACATCAATATTACTCTGAAACACTGTCTGCAACTATATCAATAAGAGCATTGGGGAAATTCTTTGCTGGTGAAGGCTTCTCTCCAGATCTAGAGGCTGGTGAATTGTCCTGGTGGGATAAGATGCTGCTGGCTCTCTTTGGCCTTCATCTCAGGTGAATGACTTACTTCTCTGAAAACTCTGGGGGGGTGACTTCCATTTCCTTTCTGCAGAGGAAAGATTGCTTTAATATTACTTCCACAGTGTGCAACCAGCACATCAGCACTACTGGGGCAACAGGCAGAAACGCATGGCTCTGCACCATACCTGGCCTACCGGGCCAGGAATGTCCACACCTGACCTACTGGGCGAGGAATGTCCACACCAGGTCCCACAGTTACTTGGGAAGCACCTAAGGAAGTGTTCGTTGCCGCATGTTTCTGAGAAATTATACAGCTGTTACCAGAGTCTAAGACTTCCTGGTAAAACCACTCCTTTCAGGATGCCAGCTACATGTAGTCCTGTGGCAGAAACAGGGCTTACCTTTGCTGTCCCAGGTTTCCAGGCATAGAGTGTGACGTGTTGGCTATTGTTCTCAGGAGGAACAGAGCAACAGACCGTACATACAATTCTGACGAATGTTCAGAAGCCAAATAACCCACAGCTGCCGTTTGCAAGCTGGAGAGTGAGGGAAGCCAGCAGCTGTTCAGTCCAAGAAGTTGGAAGCCTGAGAACAAGAAGGACCAACGGTGCAGCCCAGTTCGAGGTGAGGGTCCGGAAGCCAAGTGGGGAACTGCTAGTCCAAGTTCATGTCCAAAGGCTGAAGAATCTGGAGTCTGATGTCCATTGGCAGCAGCAAAAAGTGTACCCCCTGGTGAAGAGTTTCAAGCTTCACCTCCTTGGTTTTTTTTGTTGACCCTCCATCCCCCGCCTGTTGGATGTTGCTGCTCTCCTGCAGGGAGGGTCCACATGCCAATCATCTCTGGAAATGTGCTAACAGATACACCCACCACATATCAATCATCTCTGAAAACAGAAGTGTGCTTTACCAATTTTCTAGTTGTCATTCAGTGTAGTCAAGCAGTCAGCCAGGATTACCTACTATACTTTCTTTTTCTCTTATTTAAAAAGATTAGTTTACCTTGACTTCAGAAAAAACTTTCCCATTTGCTTTACCATTTGCTTGCATGGTCTGTCTCTCTCTGTCCTTCTCTCTCTGTTTTGCTCTCTCTCTGCGCCTCTCTCCATGTCTGTCTCTCAGATGAATAAGTAGACAGATGTATACACAGATAAAGTTACTATATAATGCATAAATATTTGTAGTCAGGATTATTTCCTGGCCCCATCTCTGCTCCAGTCTCAATGACAAATTCCTAGCATAATTGATGTTACCTGTATTGGTACCCTACCACCGTAGCCAGAGCATCAAATTCAAATTGTGCCAAGTGTCTATTTAGAGCTTAACACTGGAGATCAGATGGTATTTAAGAAAATGCTTATATGAGTTGAGCAGGTAATCTTAGTGGGAATCTTCTATAAAATAAATTGTACGTAAAACACAGATAGGTTATTCCCATAATGTTCCAAAACTGGGGTGACGAGTCCAAATGAATATTTCATGAGAAGCAATGTGACATCCACAGAGTAATGTACTGGATAACTGCGTGCACTGGAGTTGAGTTACAGCTAGCAAAGGCCTCCTTGTCAACTAGTGGGAGTTGAACATTTGAAGTATCCTTCAGGGTTTGCTAGCAGCCCATGTGAATTTGAGAGGAAAAACTGACAAGACCTGACAGTGCTGTAGCAAATTTTGCCCTTGGAATCATCCTGGGAGAATTTTCATGTGAAATTAAAAATATTATCCTGTATCTCCTTCTTCTCATGCAGAATTAAGACACCAAAGCAAACAGAGCAGACTTTAGAGAAAGACAGCCACCAAAACAAGCCACCAAACTTAGGCCCTGGGCACAGGATTTGAAGGATTTATCATAAGGTGTTGGATTGGTAGTTCCACTAGGTGGCACCAAACAATACCCTTTTTAAAGAATGGAAATGTTCTGTTAATTTGAATTAGTCACAGAAGCACTGCTTTGTTTTTAATGCGGGGATGAGGAACTTGACCAAATTGCTGACTGTGGTTCCTGATTTTATGTCATTGGCACTCATAAGGTTTAACAGCTTTTATGAATTCAAGAACAGTTTGCTTCACCTTTCTTAATCATGTCTGTATCCCTGTCACTTGTCTGAGAGTCAGGATGGTGTGTCATGTAAGGGCACCAAACCTTGGGGTCTTTAACCTTGAAGTTGGGGGTTTGTGAGTAATCACAGGCTTCTGAGTGACAGACTCCAATGTGAGTCAC